AGGGTTGGCAGGTTTCAGATCAAGTTTGTAAAATGTATTTTATGACATTACATTATAGTACTAAAATACTTCAAAAATACAAGGATTGTATTGAACAAGGATCAGGAATTTTGCATCTACACCTGGATTCAATGGAATGTCACTGTGGAATTGAGTGAAGTAAGTTGAAATTACTATACAAATGATGGAAAGTTGTGCTGCCCCCATTCCCTAAGCTACTCTACAACGATGCTATGTGTCTTGGTCATATAGTTTTCTGGAAATGTATAATTTTGATGGATTTGTACCTTCCTGATTAAACTCTCTCCACTAAGGTATATTTGTGAGGTATATATTTATGTGTGGTAAGTAACACCAATTGGTGTGTTTCAGCCCTACAGGTTGTAGTCTCACCTGCAGAAAAATAGATCACTTTGCTCTTCTCAACCGCTCTCTGAATGGTGAGTAAATAGTGCAAAAATGGAGAACAAGCTGTCTAATGGTCATTTTAGAAGAAGATTTCCGCAAGACCGGGGCCCCAAATTCTGCTTAGGCTTTATTTCACTAAAGTAACAACACTTTGACTTGAGTAAGGGTTTAGTCTACTCTACCCAGCTCTACTGAAATCTAGACTCAGTGTATTCTTGGGACTCTTTCACAAACAGACGTGAGCTCACACATACACGCTGCGTGATTACTCACATATGCAGGCTGCGGCCAGTAGGCGGTTGGCCACATAGGGTGCGACACAGGTAGGGAAGACGGGCTGCACCATGTAGTTGGAAAAGGTGATAGCTATCACAGCCTGACTGGTGGGCTCGATGATGAGGAGCGACGTCCACAGACGGATGAAGGCCAAGAAGCCTCCGAAGGCTTCCAGGATGTAGGCATAACTGGCACCGGACTTTGTGATAGTGGTTCCCAGCTCGGCATAGCAAAGCGCCCCGAACACTGAGAATATTCCACCAATTGTCCACACTACCAAAGACAGGCCATAGGAGCCACTGTACATCAGCACGCCTTTAGGAGAGACAAAGATGCCCGAGCCAATCATGTTCCCCACAATGAGGCAAACGCCATTGAGCAAGGAAATCTCTTTCTTTAGTTTCATTGACTCCTCAGAACCAGACGACTTCAGTTTGCCATTTGAGACGTCTGTGGAAGACTCTTGCGTAGGGGCAGGGCTGCTGGTAGCCATTTTTGCACAGAATTGGCAGGCAGGTGGTTTAACAGGGATGCTGACTGGATCAGCTGTCGGTCACTTTCAAAAAGTTCAAATTTATTTAGAAGGCCTGCTTATGTCTGAGTCAGAAGTCTTAAGGCAGCATCTGAGGAGGAAAGAGAATGATTTTTCAGTGCAAATGATTGTAACGGCAATATAATTATGCAAACACACAATAAAAAATGTTTTTTAAAAGCGAGTGAATGTAAAGATTTAGAGAGAGATGCTGAATGGAAGAAAGAAAAACAGCCAGTCATTTAGACATGTCATGACATGCCATTTAGCCCCTTGTACAGTGTTGTGCTGCAAGTACAGTTACATTAAATTAGGTTGGTCATTCTGTCAGTGTTCTCATCATTAGCCAAAAGGATGACATTAATGGTCAGGTTTTTCTGCTTTAGTTTTCCTCTCTTACACATAATAAACAAGGAGGGCAGAAGCAGCTTTGCAAAAGCTGACATGTCACATGTTCTCCCCAGTTCACTGGGCTTATGAGAGTTAAACACAGGAAGATATGCCATGAACCTTACATATAGTAACATAAGCATGCAGTAGTGAAAAAATCACAACATAACCACACAAAATGCTGAATGTCAAAGTATTATAATAATAAATATATAATACAACATTCAAAAACAGCAGAAGAGTGATGTAATTAACTGCAAAAGTGGACCATTAATAGAAACTTGGTTGAACATTGCAAAGCAAAGACGCTGACGATGTCTTACTATACAAATTATGTGCATGGTTTGCTGAGCATGACATGAGCAGATTAAGGAAAGTCAATTTAGATAGCATTATATAAGGTCTAATGTAGTATGCAGTGGATAATAAGTAACTACATCATCTGTGGTAAACATGTATAGATGCCTTCTCGGTTTAACTGATGTATGTGCTGTTCTAAGCTTTTAGGTTGTTAAGCAAGCACGGTATGAGATCTGAGGTAGTAGTTAAAAAAAAATAGCCCACTATACTTCATACATGATACCTACACCACGCATGTACCAGGCTATACCTGACCAACCATGGAATTTATTACAGTTTATTACTGTTGCTGCCTGCTAACGATTTTTCATGCTTTGGAGAGCACTGAGTGAAAGCAAGAGAAAGCAGAATGCATGAATATTATTTCTGACTGACATTTCAGAATAGAATATAAAATGCTATTGATCCCAAATATTGATCCACAGGGAAATACTATGCTATATTTTTTAATGTACTACATTTTGTGTGACATTTCCAGTGTGTTAAAAAAGGCAGTAAGAAAGAAAGAAAGAAGGAAAGAAAGAAAGAGTATTACCGAGCAGGAGGAGAACAGGTAAGGCCTGCACGTGATGATAAAAAGAGAGAGAACTGTAGTTTCCACAGGTCTTAGGGACCAGAGTGGGAGATCAAGGTCCATCCAGCACTGATAAGCTCTCTTAGAAAGCAGCTATAAAATAAATTACTTAAGATTACACTGGGAACGAGGCTTTCTGTGCAGCACAGCTTTGTTGATATGTGACTTTCAGACAGTATCCCAGTACCTGCAGGGCCACAAGAGGTGTAAAGACAGACCAAACCATATCTTAACCAAGTAAAGCATTAAAGTAAAACTGGTTAATAGAACACAGATCTGACCCATGTCAGCACGTCAGCCTTGGACTAATGTGTACTGTCAGCTGAGATTCCCCACTGAAAATTCAGTCTAGCACTAGCTCTGGCTTAATCTAAACCTGTAAAAATCGTCGTTATGGTCTGTTTACGTTTGATAATCAGTGAATTTGCAGGGACATTCATGTTCTTTTAACGCCCCCTCAAGTTCACAGAAAATCATCAATGTAACTGTTCGTGAAACGTGGAACTGTAACGTTTATCAAGTCGCACTTCTATCTGATAGCCTGCAGGCTAAATAAACAGATGAAACCTTCACGTTCAGGCTAAACAGATGCGTTAGCTTACCTTTCTCAGGTGACTAACGGGAATACTCGGATTTCTGCTCCCACTCCAGTGGTTTGGCGCTCCTTGTTTTCAGGCTTCTGCAGGTCATTCACATTTGCTGAGGAGAATGAACACAGATGTAGCTGTCATTTTAACAGGAAGCTGGGCTGGAAACGGAGAGTCAGGTTTGATTACTGTCTTCGTTAAGCGCTCCTGTGCTTTTGCAGCTGCTCTCTCTCTCTCTCTCTCTCTCTCTCTGCCCTCTGTCTGGAAGGTGTGCTCAAGTTCGATCAGCTGATGGACTTCTGCTTTCATGCGGAGAGGACTAACTAGGCATAAAACACGAGGTGAGGCGGGAGAAAACATTTCATGTGATTTATACCACAAACAAGCTGCTAGACAAAGACACTTCCGTATTCATAAGCCTGCTTAGCAGTGTTATTAATTTTATAAGGTGCGTTTGAGGATCTTAGGAGCAGTTTGCAGCATGATGCTGTGTGGGAACCTCAGCTCAGTTATAAATGATTAAAGGCTTAAACTTAAATTGACTAGATAGTAATAGTCATATTAATAGTATTGAATATACTTCATTTCGGTTAATTGTAATTAATATGTAATTACTGCAACTACAGAAAATGAGACTGACATGTTCTAACATTTTTAACGTTACTGAAAGATAACTGCCACAAGAACACGCAGTTATGGTTGGCAAAACTGTTGATTTCTTTTGATTCTGATACTAAGTAACAGCCTGTGTATTATCATGATACTACTGCTACTTTAAAAAGTCTTCTGTTTGCATAAAAGAGGAACTCTGTGATTTCTACAGTGCGGACATAGCTTACGTTTTATTACCGTTACCCATTTCTGGACTTTTTACAGTCCCAATTCCCTCCTGGCAGCTTTGCATTTGTGTGACTGTCCGGTATGAGGAACAGAGAAAGAGAGCGGAAGGAAAAGTAGTTCCTGTGCTGCACAGTTATTTGCTGCCATCATTTTTTCCCATTTTTCGAGCATCAAAATGCATCAATTTCAAGAAAATTTACTATTAACATGGACAATCAAAGAAGATACTTTTAAAAAATTCTGAAATGGAAACGCCAGGAATAACGGAAGTAATCGATACTTCGGTATCAGTCCGCCCATCTATCCACAATTTAAATATTGCTTATACATCTCTCAGTTGTATAAGTTGCTGTGCGTTAATAAAAGACTCATTTGACTAGGACGGTTGATGGAGTTGTCCTTTAGTAGTTTAATTTAGCGGCAATTAAAATAGTTGTTTAGCTGCTGGGGAAGGTGCTGTCAATGTCCGTAGTTTAAGTAATTGTAAAACCAAGAGCTAACTCAAAACAGTCAAGCCACATTGTGTAAAGCAGTAAACTATGAATATTGTCCTCAGAAGCGTTTTAAATAAGTTAGGCTAAGACATCAAAGCAGCAAGGGTTTAGTTCTTGAAGCTTGCACAAAAGCCCTGGGAAAGAAATTAAATTTACTATGAATCATGGCTATCTGTCTAAAAACTACACATTTTCATCGTGCCATTTTAGAGCCTGGCCTCATGTTTCAGCGGTACACCCGTTGCTCCCTCTTGTGGACAAAATCTGCTATTGCCGATTCTGCTTAGGGTAAAATCCATTGACTGAATCCTGAGTTTGTTTTACAAAGAGAGCCAAACAGATCTAACTTTTAAAATGCAGAATACTGTCTGATGTTTTATAGAATTCATTCGAAACTTTAAATGAAAGTGTTTAACTTTCTTGAATAAAGATTAACTTCTTAGATTTAATGTCTTCTTGTGCTCCAACATAATACATCTATTTTCAATAGCATAGGTTTGCTGGATTAACTCGTGATCATGTTCCTGAGCAGATAGGGATGACTACAGACCTTACCAAAAATTGTCAGAGCACAGAAAAACCAAAGCATACTGTCTGAACAGTTACAGATTATTCACTTAGTACCACGTGCCTTTGCTGCATCTCTCAGTGCTGAGTGAAATGTATTTGGTATTGTCTCTCCTGTATTTTTGATTGAGACATGCCTCATGTCGCTTCTGAAAGCGTGTGGACAAACTTCTAACACATGCCTTTTTTCTGGGCCCATTGTGCCTCTCCCTCTCAACCTCTACATTCTTCTCCTTGGTTACCAGTTGTCATGGTTTCAAGGGCTCTGCAGAGGCAGGATTAGGAGCCATTTTGGGGACAGCTGGCTGGGTTGGTCCCCTCTGTCCCCCCCGTCCTGCTCAGAGACGCTGAGAGGGGGATGAGGGGGGTTATTGTGCAGGGATTAGAGCTTCCTGTGTGTCAGTCCCATTACATAGGGAGGGGTGGAGGATGGAGAGAGACTGAAAGAAAGGGAGAATGAAAGAGAAAATGAAAGAGAGAGCATATGAAAGCGAGCATGACACAGGGAGAGGGTGTTGGAGAGAAGGGAGTGGGTGGAGGGGGGGGTCTATACAGCTGCACACTCAATCACTTTGCACTAGTTCACGCACACACATTATCATGGACACACAGTGTACGCACATGCACCCATCAACATGCACACCACAGATCTGGTGAGCTAAGCCATATGAAAGGAAACAGACTTTGAAAAGGGGCCAAAAAGGTAGACAAAAGATCTCTGGAGCAGACATACAGAGTATTGAGGCTGAGAAAACACGAACGCAGACAAATAGAACACAGATAGAAGAATGACTGCTACGGCAGCAGGACCAGGGGATGAATTTTGGACTGAATTACAGTTCGGTAAATAATCTCTTCCTATACTTAAAGGGCCCGTATCATGGGTTGTCCTTGCTTTTTTAAAACAGTTTGAAACAGTAAAATTTCAGAACACAGTCCATACATACTTAATTGAAATTAAGCTTTAAAACAGCCTGTTTTTAATTTTGTCTTTTGTGATGTCACAAAAGCCAACACATTTACATATTTCTGCCTATTCAGACTAAAACAGTTTAGCATGATCTCCTCATTATAAGACCATTGCTCAGGAGCCCAGCCTGTTTGATTCCAAGGGATGAAGAGAGATTGGAAAATGGTCATGTAAAATTGGTATGACTGGTACATAAAACCTATAAGTGGACCTCAGGGAAACAATAAAATACAAGGAAATGGCAGGATATGGCCCTTTAAGACATTGCGACACAAAGTGTACATACAATATCTGGCCCACAATTACACACACCTAACATGCCCACCAAAAAAAAAACAACAACAAACCACACGAGCATTTATCTGAATGACATGACATTCATTCGGCTTTTATTCCTCCTCTTCAAAACAAAGTAGGAGCAAATTTTAAAAGACAACATTTATGGGGAACACAAAGTAAAAAAAAAGAAAAGCTAAGACAGCTAAATACAGTTCAGTGCAATGCACTGATAAAGGGCAGCATTCCTCTTGAGTAACTCAAGAGAGAAAAGAAATACATATGCATGCATATGGGCAAAAAAGCCCACAAAAGCTAAAGGCCCCTTGAGGTTCCTACTCTGATTTATTGTACTGGTCACTGGGAATGAACACGTCCATTAGAAGTGAGTCAAGTTCTATCAGTCAATGAAATTAGAGTGCTTGTAGATACAGGTCAAGTAGTGTTATCTCTAAGCACTGCCTAGAGAGTTAAGGCATACTTTCACTGCTGTTGTTCTCATTATTATACAAGCTGTACTGGTAGTTATTTATCAGTTCTCTCAATCAGTGCATAAACAGTGTCCTCAGTACTATTATCTGGATGATGGCAACACTGAAGGAAGAACATGTTTCTAATTCAGGTCAATGAAGTCATTGAATTGAATAGAATTCATAGTGGAATACATGGGTTCACTAAGACTATAAAAACAGCGCTGAGAACAGTGCAACTAAATCGAGTAACATCCAATACGTACAGCAGCATGATGATTGGAGTAGAGGGAGAAAAACAATGTTAAAGAAAATAAATGAAACCTGGGAATTTACATTGACCAACTGCAGCTCAGCTGACCAGTTTTTGTATGATGCAAAATTTAACCCATCACATTTTAGGGCAAATCCCTCTTTTCATAATTGGATAATTGTTGGAAATATATCTGGTGGACAAAGTTGAGAAATTCTCATACTCATTGAGGCTGTTTACACTTGCATTAACATGTGTTTCATGTCTGGATCATATCTGGATATACTTTGGCTGGATTCAGTTTGCACTTTTCAATAAAATGCGACCCCAGTGTGACCCAATGAGATTTTACTTTCCCAGATAAAAAAGCATGTTAACACGTAAGTTATTTCTGGTTTACTTCCATGAACTTTTTCCACTTGTTATGACCTGTTATGGCTTGGATTCAGAGTGCAAGAAGGCACTTGGTTTTGGGATAACTCCAGCCTCATGTATCATCCATTTCTCCTTGTTTATACTCTTATGTAAAAGATAAAAAGGTATGTGGATATAGAAGACACATTCTATTTACACACATAATCCAATCACAGTGCATCCTGGGTGTGATTACACCTGGCTTTTTATGTGGTCAAATAAAATCTGGACATCCGCATGTTAATGAAAGGAGTAAAAAGCCTCATAGAAATCTGAAATTGTTTCAGATTCAATAATGTTTTGACGTAAGAAAATTTATAATTACATTTGTAATACACAAATACCACATTTCACCTAGGATCTTAATTCTGAGGATCCTAATATCTGATGTCAAGGACTTGCTTTGTGTACACGAACATTTCATTGTCTTCAAAAAAGGCACTAATTTTATGTTAACAAAGTCACTACTGTTCTACAATATCACAATTTAAGAGCTACATCTAACAGAAAAATAGTAAAAACTCTCACTAAAATTGGCAAAAAAAATTACCATTCCACCAATCACATTCTTTTAGGCTGTGTCCTCAGACTCTGCCCCTCCATCTGCTGATCCACCAGCAGCTAGTGGAACTTCTCCTGGGGATACTTTCTCTGTGCTTTTCTCCAGTGTATTTCCAGTGTCTTTTTGAAGGTTGCCACTAGCTGGATGAGGACTTGACTCCATAGAGTCCTTACAGTTTCCCTCTGAAGGCTGCAGAGCAACAGCTGAAGCATTCGCCCCACTGCTTGTTCCTCCACTGTGGATTTTCATGTGACCCTGTTATAACACACACATACAAATGCACACAAATTAGCACAATATCTCATTGCCCATAACTACAAATACATAATTAGAATATATTTTAACTGTAACAGATCTTTGAACTATTACAGATTTGGACAGTGTTTTAGTACAGCCTTGACCACAGTATGCAATGGTAAATATATATATATATATATATATATATATATATACATACACATATCTGTTACTTCCTACCTTTAGTCCACTGCGGCTGGCATATTCTTTACCACAGTGCGCACAGCTGTAGGGTTTCTCAGGGCGTTGGGGCTGTGAAGGGATAACTGGGATATTTGGTTGGGTCACCATAATCCCCTCCTCATCCTTAACCTGACTCCCAGTATTCACTTCTACATTTATGTTAGTCACTTCTTCCTTCTTGGCCTCTTGAACATCCCCAAGATTCATGTTCCCAGTTTCCTCCTCTGGAGCTCCATTATTGGCTAATGAGGGCAAAGATTCATTTTTAGTGCTTGAGAGAAAGTCTCCTTCTCTGGGTTCAGGATTCAGACTGGTTACATTTGCAGGCACTGTTTTCTGTGAACCACTTAAATCTGGCTTGGGTTGAAGGGATGGGCTGGAGGGGGGTGTGAGTGCAGGGGAAAGATCAAGAGCTGCAGAATCTGGGCTGGATTTTGGGCCACTGACCACTGTAGAATGGGGAGCCCCTGAGAGATCACAGTTGTTGGGCAGAGAATCCTGAGAACTGGTTCTGGTACAGAGGGACAGAGGAATGTTCTCATCATCATCTGTCATACCATTTACTACAGCACTGGTCTGACACCTGTTTTGATGAGCTTTAAGAGCACTGAGGGCATAAGCACTAACAATGCTAGGGTGAGCATCACTGTCAGGATGTTCTTCTACTGGAGAAGAGTTAGCAGGGGGGCTGTCACAAGTGGAAGAACTAGTGTGGTCTTGCTTCTCTAGGGCTGGATCAGTGATTGGAGTTGGGCTTGTACCAGGTGTGTCACAGGGATCTTGATCCGACTCTAGCACTTGATCTGCATCAGGTGATGTAGTATTTCTAGAAGCTGTGCTTGACTGTAGTGTGCTAGCAGTTGAAGACGAAATAGTAGTACTCATATTAAGAGGATGAGACTGGATGGTCTTAGGCAGAGTGACACTACCTATTTGACTAACTTCTTCCTCTGGCCCCAAATCTCCATTCCCCTCTGGAGGCAACTGGCCCCCCAGATGCATCCGAATGTGATGCTGTAGCACCACAGCATTAGTAAACTTACGCTGACACAGCGGACAAGAATTTTGGGTGCGTGCATTGGGCGGTCGTGCTCTGTGGGTGGCCAGATGAGCCCGCAGACTGCCCTTGGTGGAGAAGGAGCGGCCACAGAGCTTGCAAGGGAAAGGGCGCTCGCCCAGGTGTGTGGCTTGATGAAGGCGTAGTGCCCTGGGACAACTAAGCACACGCAGGCATATCCCACACTGGTTAGGTGCCAGAGAGGGCAGGGAGGGAATAGTCCCTGAAATGCTCTGGGTGCTCAGCTCACTGTTGGGGTTAGGGTTTAGGCCCAAGGCTGCCATCATTTCCCTCCTGTATGCTGAGATAGTATGAGTACTGGATGTTGTTGATATGTCACTGGCCTGGGTGCTACCATTAGTCTGGTCTTCACTGAACGATTTTGATGGAGGCTGCTTCTCCAGCTTCTGCGCCAGCCTCTGGAGTTTGGAGGTGTCAGAGGTAGCAGTCGATGAGGATGGAGAGGAAGAGGAAGGAGAAGAGGTCTGGGGTTTGGGGTAAGGGGAGAAGGGGAAAGTAAGCTGGGGGTGGGGGGAGGGAAGGTGAGGAGGGCGGAGTAAAGCCAATCCAGGATGGTGGGGAGAGGGACCAGAGGGGAAGAGGATCTTAGGGAGGTGGGCCAACTGGGAGTATGGAGAACTGGGGTGCAAAGTGGAGTGTGGAGGTGTGTTCTCATCAAACCGCTGCTGTTTAGCACCCTTCAACTGGCCTGTCAAGGCCGAGGAAGATGAAGACGAAGTGGTGGATGCAGAAGAGGACTGTACACTTGCTGAAGCAGAGACTACTGCTGCAGCAGAGGCACGATTAAGCTGCAGCAGTGAATGGGCAGTGGACAAGAGGGCAAGATCTACGCTGGGCGGCAGAGGCAGAGAGGAAGGAGAGAGGCGGGAAGATGGCCCAGATAGAAAACCGAGAGCCAAGCCATCAGGCACACCCACCCCACCTTTAACCCCAAAAGGCTCTTCGTCTTCGGCACGACGCTTCCTGCGTCTCTGACTCACCCCAGTGCCAGATCCTGATTGGCTCTGCTCTGACAGGGCAGGTGGGAGAAGGGAGAGGGAAAGCTCTGGGTTCTGCTCCCGGTGGCGCAGAAAATGGGCCTTGAGGTTCCCACGTGTAGTAAAGCGACTGAGGCAGACAGGACATTGGTAAGGCCTTTCACCTGTATGAGACCTCAGGTGGATCTGCAAGGAGGAGTCACTGCTCAGCACCTTTCCACAAAAGCGACAGACATGCTGCTGGCGCCCTGCAGAAGAGCTCAGTGAACCACCAGAAGATCCCACAGCAGAGCTGAGTGGCATCTGCTCCTGAGAGAGGCTAGAGGTGAGCAGTGGAGGAGTGGGGAAACTAACAGCACTGGTATGACTCAGTGAGGTGTTAGGGGATTTTTCATGGAGGTAACGGGGAAGACCCAGCGACAGTGACAGGGGGTGCACTGAAGCTACTGAGGTGACCAGCGATGATGTGGAAGAAGAGGGTGTGGATGATGAAGAGGAATATGTAGCTCTATGTCCATTAGTATGAGAGATGTTGGGCTTTGAAACAACAGCCTGTGGGATCACTGTTGGAAGAGCTGTAGGTAGAGGAGAAGCTGTGGACTGTGAAGGACCTGAAGAGGATAGAGATGGGGAGAGTGATCCAGAGGTTCTCTGGTGGTTCTCCAAAGATCCTTGAGCTGTATCCTGGTTGCCGATGACTCCACCCAGGCGCAGAACCTGTCTACAGATCTCCTCAGTCATCTGCATCTGGTGGATCTGTCTTTGCTGCAAGACCCTAAGTTCCTCTAAGAGTACAGCTAAAGTTGGTGGCACTTGTACCTCCTCTGGTGGGCTGGAGGGGGTCTGTTGGACGGAACTGGGACTGCCTGGGTGTGGAATGGCATTAAGAGATGATGATGAGGAGGAGGAGGCAGAGGAATTCGTAGTTGTAGCAGAGATACCCATCTGAGGAGAGGTTATGGTGGAGTGAGGCTGATGTACAGGAATATGGACAGACTTTTGCTGGACAGGAGGAGGGGACTGAGTCTGGGAGGACAGGGATGGGTGCGGGAAATCTGGGGAAAGAGAAGAGTGGGTGTTGGGAAGAGAAGTGGTGTAGGGGGCAATGTGACTGGCCCAATGGGGAGGGGAGGAGTTTTCACTGGGGAGGGAAGGAGCATGCAGGCCCCCAGGGGATGGTCTCGGGGCCAAGGGAGGCTGACAATCTTGGAGAGAAGAAGGGGATGAGGAGGATGAGGAAGATGAGGTAGCTTCTGAAGCAAGAGAGGTTGATGGTGACTTCACGGCCAGCTGATCATCTGCAAACCAATGATAGAGAAGAACAAGAATGGGATTTAGGCATTTCTCTCCATACCTATCATTTACACAAGACACATGTTGCGCTAGAGTTATCTTTTTAAGCATTATTCATTCTTGGTCTACAAACTATTTAACTTTCAAATTAATATTGTCTGTGAATGAAGCTTCATCTTGGTCACTGGTAACTGTAATAGATTCCTACAACCAAATGCTGCAAACATTTGGCAAAATGCCATTCGAAAGATGTTAGACGTTCATATTTTGGGTTAAAAAAGTGCAATCAATTAGTCATTTTACGCACAAACGATATCTTTAATAAACCACAACATGGACAATGTCTTTCGTCATTCCTGTCACAAGCCGCTGACCACCTTGCTGCTATGGCAACACATTTTAGAGGACAATGGGCATCACCACAACAACCCATAACCCCTCTTAACCCAACCCTCTTTCCATCAGCTCTGTCTTTCATCTCCCCATTCACCCTTCCCCCTGACCCTGCACAAGGTCATAGGTCAGGCCATGCTATGGGTTTTGGGCACTGTCAACTGTGCTCTGATTGGCCAGTTGACCTGACCTCTGGAGCTCTGGGGTCAAATTCTTTCAGAATCTTCAGCACAGAGTAAGAAAATGAAGAAGGGGGTTGGGGAATTGAGAAGCTGAGTGACAGACCTTCCCACCCTGTACTGCATAGACGCACTCTTAATAACTGTATACAATGTTATGTCATCAAAACAGTGAGTTGTGTTTCCTCAATCATGTTAGCTTGGACTTAGTCAAACCAGGTTAGCCCAGTCAAAAAAGTGGACTGATTCAGCAAAGTACTTATTTGGTGGTTGTGGACGTCTAAGGTGTTTCTGATAACTATCCATTTTTTCCCTTGAAGGCACTAGTGCATTCTTTACCCATCTGCATCCTACCCAATGGAACCCCCAACTGAGTAGGTGAATAGAAGCAGAGGAGTGGAGTAGGGGGGGTCGCTGAGAAAGCAGAACAGAGGAGCACAAGGAAACATGAGGGAGAGAATAAGAGAGAGGAGAAGAGAATAGAAAGAGAAGAGATTAATCTTTACCCAAACACCCCCTTCTTCCACTCCCCATAGCCAGCACCTTATTCACAGTGAATAGAAGAGTTCTCTAAACGAATAAAAGACCCCCAACAGTCAAGCTGAGTATGCTGCAAGTCTCTTGGAAGATTGGTGCTACTGAAAAGCTAACACAGATATGGCCCCTGAATGATGCATGTCAATGGAATGACCATAGTGCTGAACCACCAAGACCAACCCCCTCTCCAGCATTTTTACTTTTTTAAACAAGTTACTCTAAAATGTTCTTTCAAAACCAATTTAAGACTATTATATTACACCTGCACAGTAGCTGCTTAGCCACAGGCTGGTCAGTCCACATCCTCAGAGCAGAAATCCGAGACAAATCAAAAACCAACGTGCTAGATCTCAAACAATGACCCCACTCACTGGTAGGAACAGAAGCACGTACTGCTGCCATTCAGCGCTGCAAATCGTGCATCTAAAGGTGAATCCTCAGTACAAGCAACACATTAATGCGAAATATTAATAACATGTGTTACTGTTTATTTATTCCATGGCAAAAACTTTTCTCTTACTCCAGAAAACCTGCACTGATGGTCGTAACTCATTTAAGGTCCAGTATCGCTTGCATGATGGAGAGCATTTAGCAGATAAGCGTTTAACAGACTCACCTTGCGGTGCCAGCAGCGTGCCCCCCGGGTCCGCGTTCACGAGCTGCTGGGGTCGCTTTTGCTTACGGCGCGACATGATTCACGGCGAGGGCGCGAGGCGTGAGGGGCGCATCAGCCAACTTTTCACACTAATGCGGACTCGTAAACACAAAGACCCTCCCTCCCTCTCCCGCCACGCTGAAAGTTCACCTTGCAGGAGGAGACGTGCGCGCCGGTTGTAGCCAAGGTTAAGTCAGCATCAATTTACAGCCGCACAACAGCGCGCTTTGTTCGCAAAACAAGAAATCGAAAACTAATAACTCGCGGCGATCGCAAAAGCTGCACCGTGACGTCCGCAGCTGCTGCGCGATTTGGCGAGTGCGTGTGTGCGGCTGTATTTCCTCAACAAGTCCCCTCTTTCTCAAACTTGCCCACTGTGCACCCCCCCACCACCACCTCCCAACACACACACACACACACACACACACACACATACACACACACACACACACACACACACAAATACAATCTCTCCTTGTTCTTTACTGACATTTGCATTTCAATGGCGTGGAGCACCGTCTCTTTTTCTTTCTCGCTCTCTTGCATTTCTCACACCATCCAGCCGTAAAAGCAATTAAAGAGAATCTCTATGTCTGACAGCAAATTGCATTAATATCCATCAATCACGGTGACTATATCATGTCAGTCTGGACAAAAAACATGTTTTTATGTGAATAAAAGGAGTGAATTTAAGGGATCTAAGACTATTTACACACCAGAACAACATTTCAAATGACATAAATGGCTGCAGAACACATTACGACCTTGCTGAACAGAGCACCCTTCTGTAGCCAACAGTTGCAGTAAAGTTATTTCACACGAAAACCTATAGGAAGTATCACACTTCCATTAAAGGGAAATTCCACCGATTTTTCTAAATTTCTGCATAATTTAGTCGATGAGATGTAAACAAAGTCACCCAGAGTGATTTCACGTGACATAGGACATTGTAAAAAAAACTTGCAATTTCAGCTTTAAAGTGGTGGTGATAGGAACCAGGGGTCCCGATGTGTACAACACAATTATAGCTATTTTATTTACCCTACCAGTGACCCTAGATGTGTCTTCAGAGTTTTCATATGTAATACTGATCATGGTAAAACAGTGGTAAGTCTGAACAAGTAAGTTTTCCTTGGGTGCTATGTTGCCTTACAACTCCCTGCATGTACCTCTCTGCCATGAATGGATTAGGACAAAAATAAATAAATAGACCAAAGTCTTATCATAAAACAATGTCTCATGCATGAAATAACTTTATGTGCTGTTAGCAGGGTAGAATACTCTGAAAAGTAGTGATGAATACTGAATACACTGTTCTAAATGTGTTTACTAATGTATTTTGCTCCAATACATAGAAAATTAACATATTCGGACTACATTTAAACTACAGATAAAATACATGGGAAAAACTCTTCTGATGTAATTTTTATTTTATTCACACTGTCCCTTGCTGTTACTGGTGACATTTTCATATTATTCTCCTGTTAGTATGTTTAATAAAAACTCACTTATTTAAAATTCTCAATATTATTTCGGTTCTCATCACCTACGTTGGTTCTCTATTGCTCTCCCTGCCGTCTCATGAACCAAGCACACAATTTGCCATATTCCAATAGCAAAATCTTGCAAACTTGACTATAAAGTAGGTAGCTGTGTGATTTTCAGTTAATATCACGTATATAACTTGCCACAAAAAGCATGCATGAGTCCAGTATAACAGCGATGCTAAGGTTATTACTGATGAGGTTCTATCATCTCTCAGAAAAGTTAAGTAATGCTGAGATTAATAACTGATCATCACATTGATTTATCAGTCCACACAGGCTTTGGCAGGAACTTCACACGTTATGCACTGATTTTAATGTAGTTAATAAACAAGCATTGATGGTGTTTCTTATAAAGGCCATATATTTTTTCAAATTTAGTGGACTAAATTATTATTATTATTATTATAAAAGTATTCTCCTGAAATTTTAAAAGGTAACCATGTTCTTAATACTGCCTTTACAAAATGTAACCTTGACTGAAAACACATACTTAATTCTTGTATTCTGAATGCATATTCTTTATTAGAAGCATTAAATGCTTGAGACGTCTGGTTCCCATCACCACCACTGTGAACAATTTTGACTCAGTAAGTTTCTCTAATGGAGCATTTCACACCAAACCACTCTGAATGTCTTTGTTCACAACTGAACAATTTTATTATAGACATTTTTAAAAACAGGTGGACTTCCCCTTTAAGATCAAGAACAGCAGTGAAAGGGAGTGATGTGTAAAGGAACACACTGTTAATGATTAATTGACTAGCTCAGACAGAATGATGCTGATGTTTAAACTTAGGAAGAAGGTGTAAAGAGGCAGGCTTGCAGTTACAACACCATCAACTGTTATGATCATGATGGTGATGATGATGATGATGATGGTGATTTAAAAACTGCCTGTGTGTGCTCAGGTCTGGAGGATGGAAAAAGCTACGTCATTTAGAAACAATCCAGAATCTCGCAATCAGTTCGATAATGTGCCATGTCTTTATAAGTGAGCGAAGTTATGGGAGAATAGACCTCCTGTGGCATCCTCGCTGTGCTGGTGTGTCCGCATATTTGAAGCTCTATTTAAAAGCCACTGAATGGACGGGAATTTCCAACAATGGCGACCTGGACACAGTTGAGTGAGCATCTCTCTCTCTGCGCCCCAGGATCCGATGCTGCCTCGCACAAAGCCCCCCTTTCACCCCGCCTGTATTCCCATACACCACGTGGAGGACGGATGGAGGGAAAAGCCATTTTTAATTAGATGTATCACACTCACCATGTCGCTACAACCATCCTGACTAATTTGTACCCCCTGTCAGGCTGAAGCAACTCTCTGAACTTTCACATCAAAGTTATGATGAGGCTTCACGCAAGTTTCATCCTACAAACCACAACAGACAACAGTGCACTACTAATACACTACACAACATTAATGAATGCACTACTAATACACTTCACTATACTAATGAATGCACTACTAATACACTTCACTACACTAATGAATGCACTACTAATACACATCACACTAATGAATGCACTACTAATACACTACACTACACTAAAGAATGCACTACTAATACACTACACCAATGAATTTACTACTAATACAATTCACAACACTAATATATATACGATTAATACGCTACACAACACTAATGAATGCACTACTAATACACTACACTAATGAATGCACTACTAATACACTACACTGCACTAATGAATGCACTACTAATACAATACACTGCACTAATGAATGCACTACTAATACACTTCACTACACTAATGAATGCACTACTAATACAATACACTGCACTAATGAATGCACTAATATACTTCACAACACTAGTGAAAGCACTACTAATACACTTTACTACACTAATGAATGTACTACTACAACCCCATTTCCAAAAAAGTTGGGACACTGTGCAAAATGTAAATAAAAAAAAATGCAATGATACACAAATCATTTCAACCCTATATTTAAATGAAAATACTACAAAGACAACATATCAAATGTTGAAATTGAGAAATTTTATTGTTTTTTGAAAAAATATATGCCCATTTTGAATTTGATGCCAACAACATGTTCCAAAAAAAGTTGGGACGGACGCATGTTTACCACTGTGTTTCATCACCTCTTCTTTTAACAACACTTTGTAAGCGTTTGGGAACTGAGGAGACCAACAGCTGTAGTTTTGAAAGTGAAATGTGCTCCATTCTTGTTTGATATTGGATTTCAGCTGTTCATTAGTTTGAGGTCTCCTTTGTTGCATTTTTTTTATTTCATAATGCGACATATGTTTTCAGTGGTGACAGTTTTGGACTGCAGTCAGGCCAGTTTAGCACCAAGATTCTTTTACTATTGAGCCATGCTGTTGTAATACATGCAAAATGAGGTTTGACATCGTCTTGCTGAAATAATCAAGGCCTTCTCTGAAAAAGACGTCATCTGGATGGCAGCATATGTTGCCAAAACATGTATATATCATTCAGCATTAATGGTGCCTTCACAGATGTTCACCTCACCCATGCCATGTGCACTAATACACCCCTATACCATGAATCATTAATACTGGCTTTTGAACTGTTAACTGATAACAAGCTGAGTCTTTAGCCTGGAGGACACAGTGTCCATGATTTCCAAAAAGAAATTAAAATGTTGATTCGTCAGACCACAGGACACTTTTCCACTTCCCCTCAGTCCATTTTAAATGAGCTTGGGCCCAGAGAAGGTGGTAGTTTTCCTGCATCTTAATTATGTACAGTTTCCTCTTTGCATTTTAGAGTTTTAACTTGCATTTGTGGATGTAGTGACGAACTGTTTTCACAGACAGTGCTTTTCAGGAGTGTTTCTGAGCCCATGTGGTGATCTCCACTACAGAATCTTTTCTGTTTTAATGCAGCGCCTGCCTGAGGGCCCAAAGATCATGTTCAGCAAATACTGGTTTTTGGCCTTGTCCCTTGCATACAGAGGTTTCTCCAGATTCTCTGAATCTTTTAATGTTATTATGTACCATAGATGATGAAAAGTTCTTTGCTATTTTACGCTGAGAATTGTTATTCTTGAATTGTCGCAATATTTGATCGTGCAGTCTTTCAGTCAGAGTGGTGAACCCCTCCTCATCTGTACTTCTGAAAGACTCAGCCTCTCTGGAATGCTTTTTTTTATATCCAATCATGTTACTTAGGTCATGTTAGGTCATGCTAATCATGTTAGGTGTTTTTTTTACACAACTTTATCAGCCTTTTGTTGCCCCGTCCCAACTTTTTTGGAACTTGTTGTTGGCATCAAATTCAAAATGGGCATATATTTTTTCAAAAAACAATAAAATTTCTCAGTTTCAACATTTGATATGTTGTCTTTGTACTATTTTCAATGAAATATGGGGTTTGAATGATCTGCACATCATAGCATTTTGTTTTATTTACATTTTGCATAGCGTCCCAACTTTTTTGGAAATAGGGTTGTAATACATTTCACAACACTAATGAATGCACTACTAATACACTACACTACACTAATGAATGTACTGTTCTGGACATACTATTTAGCACTATACTGGTTTGGACGCAGCTGCATACGACCACACTAAGTAATAAAAGATGCGGTTTTGAACAGTATCTATCTGCAGAGTCGCAGCTTTAGCCCTCACACTTTCAGAGCCGCACTTTCACCTCCCTGCGCCTCCGTTTAGGAACTCCAGCCAAATTTCCGCACTCTCACGGGTGCGATGTACTAAACGGTGGAGTGAACTTTCTTCATTGCTTCATTAGAAGAGGGGAATCATTGCCGTTAAGTGTGCACAGGTGTAAATCATGACTGATCAGCCGCTCGTTCATATAGCCAGTCTCCCGGCTCGACCGCACCACAAACTTTCTTCATTTCACGATGGCTTAGGCTGAATCTCAAACGGCTCCCTACTCCCTATGTAGTACACTACGTAGGTCTTAAGAGTAATGACTCCTGTACCCAAATAGCGCATATTATGTCTAGCAAAGAGCCATTTGAGATTTAGCTACATGTGAACAATTCCTTACATGACATACAGAGCACTATTTTTGTATAGAGGTCCACATTTCATAACAAACATAGTGCACTATGTAGGGAGTAAGGAGCCATTTGGGACACAACCATAGTATTTGAGGGTTTCTAAAAACGTTACGCGCTGCGTTCCTCGCCCTCCTTGTAACAAAACGCAACGTACAGCAGCTGCTAAACCTCTCTGCTTGGTCTCTCGACCACACATCACATCCGGAGCTCAGAGAGCTGGTCTGCCGCTCTGCGGTTACAGACCCTCCTCGTTTTAAACGCAGCTCTGTGAATCAAGAGTGCACGTGTCCCACCAGCGTTATGTTCAGCCAATCACAGATCAGATAATCATAATAGGCCCCGCCTCCATTCTCTTCGTGTATTAAAATTAGCCGACTGGCTAACCTAGACAGTTTCACGACAAGCTAACTTGACAATGTCAGGTAACAAATGTACTGTAACTAATGTCAGATAATGGTTAAATTAACTAAACCGGAGTATTTTGCTGAATGGTCAGTCTGTATGCATCTCAAAAGTCCCAAACGCAAAATATGTACAATAAAATTGTTTTGTTCGCCTTTAATGACTTTTCTTTCTGTTAGCACCGACTAATGTTAGCTAGCTAGCTAACGTACAATTTACAAGTCAAGACTAGTTTTTGTCGGCGCTGAAACACAAAACAAATAATCCAGCTGACCTGGGCTTCGTGAACAATTCTTGAAAACGTCTTATTTAAACTATTTTCCCTCTCCCTTTGTTTTAGCCATGTCCGTGTGCGACTACAGTTTACTCTGTAATTTCCCAAAGTGCCGAGCCAAGCTGAGCGGGTTCGCCTGGACGACGGCCTGTTCTCACATTTTCTGTGATCAGCACGGCTCTGGAGAGTTCAGCCGGACCCCTGCCATCTGCCCTGCATGTTCCTCTGCGCTGTCTGGCAAACTGGACATTGTACGCACCGAGCTTGCCCCCTCAGAGCAGTACAAGACTATGGTTTTAGTTGGATTACGGCCTGAGACAGTTCTGGATATCAGTCATCGAGCCCTGGCGTTTTGGACCTATCAGGTTTGGCCTGTCTCCAAAGTCACGAACCTTAACTGCTGCACTTGCTACACACATACAGGCTACTCATATCACCTGTTGAGTCACTGACCATTTGATACACTTAACATGCTTCAGGTAAACCAAGAAAGGCTGCTGATGGAGTACAGTTTGTCTCGGGCTGAGATACAAGTCGCCCAGATGGAGAAGGTGATGGCACAGCAGAACCAAACCAGAGAGCTTGAAATGAATGCTCTGAGAGAGGAGATTACATTACTAAACAAGGTTTTTACGATTCATTCAGTAATCCTGTGGACACAGTACAGCACTTTGCGTTAGCTATCTGGGAGTTCATTGCCCCGAGGTCATGGCTTATGCTGTGCACATCACTAGACAGTATGGGCATTATAATTTCTAATCAGATATGATTTCTTTTGAATCATCATACACACTAATTAAACAGTCATTGCAATGAGGGATGCACTAATAGGGGCACTGTGGGCTGGTACTGATACCCGATGATGTTCATGTACATATCTGCCTGTACATAAAGTTTTCTTAAATTAGTAAATGACATCATTCTAAATTACCTGCAATACAAAGAAATAGATGTTAAACGTTGTGCTCTTGTGGAATACAATAAATACGTTATCAAATATTGGTGTCATATCAGCCACATCTGAACATCTGTCTGATGTTGATGATTATTTTTTATGCAATTATCTGCTGATACCAATAAGATTCTGTACTAATTCTTTAATTTTCTCACTTCATTTGAAGCATTAATGCACATGTTGCTTTTGTGCCAGTTCAAAAATCTGTCCCCCTCACCTTATTTTACTATTATTTTTTCTAGTTTTGATTGAGTTCCTAACTATTTATGCTTTTTAAGTTCTGGATCCTCCTTCTGAATATTCTCTTACTGTGTCCAGAGGGTGGAGGAGTATAAGCGGAAGTACAGTGAAGTTTCAGAGCTTCTGACAAAGAAAAGCAAACAGTACCAAAAGCTTCAGGGGTTGTTTGAGGCATTGCGGTTGCGGACCATGCCACCTGTTGAAAGAGATGGACTGCACCATGCCTCCCAAGCTTTCACCACAGGTCAGTTGTAAGCTTTGGTAAAATGAAAGGAAGTGGGGCAGAAGAAGAGTAGGAGACAGGGAGATAATGATTTATTTTTACATCAGTAGTGTTACAGCTGTTACATCTACATAGTCATTCTCATGAACTATGACCAGAGAACAAAGTTTAGAAAGTGCTTGACACAGCCTAGACCATTTTGCCATAGAGTAGGGCAGTAAGTTCCCAGCCCTAGTCTTGGATTATCCCCGCCCTGCGCATTTTAGTGTTTGTCCTGCTCCCAACACAACAGATTCAACTGATCAGCTCATTAATAAGCCCTTCATGACTTGAATTGGAAGTGTTGGGAGCAGGAAAAAAAACACTAAAATGTGCAGGACAGGGGTACCTCTGTTCCCTCAGGTTTAGGAACCTGTGAAATAGAATGTTGTATTTTAAAGGTGAGTTACCAACATGGGTCAATGTACTTGCTCCTTCTAGGGTTGGTTAGACAGCGCTCTCCCCAAAGCAGTCCTCCTTTTCTGGCTGTGGGACCAGAGGTTGATAGGCTCTTCTCTTTAGAACCAGAAAGCTTCAAGAGTTTTTTCCAGTTTAACTCTCCACCAAGAGAGAAAGTTCATTCCTTTATCAAGAAACACTAACTGCGGTGCAATACTGTACGTTTTGGAGTTTATCTGGAGCTTTTCCATGTATTATTTTGAAGTTCAGTTACAACCTCATACTATATATTCTGCTTCCATTTAATTCTTCTCAGTGTTTTTCATCTTACCTGGCACTTACATATAATAGAGCTGTTAGAACTAGAAGTGTCACTAAAACATTGGCTGCTAAAGCTTGTGTAAAAGCAGTGTATCTCTGTACACAGACTGAAATGTTAACATGTCCTTGGTAAGCTGAATGTTTTCCTATGCAAAGGTTATTTTTTCAGTAGTGTTGCAAGAAAATTTACTTGATAAGCTTTAGAACTGAATGTCAGCACAAGCCTAGTCACAACCTCCAAACACATATGCAGAGGAGTCATCATTCAACTACTCTTAACAGTGTAGCTTTGCTAGCTGTGCCAGTTGTGAATATGTCAAAGGTATGCAGCTTCACAAGGTACACTTGGACATGTCATTGGTCATCTTATGAAAAATAACAATTTGACAAGTACCTTAGGAGCACCATTTGAGGAGTTTTATTTTGTGGACCTCAGATTTGAAATAGGCAGCAGCAGAATGTTTACAAAAATGCCCACCAACTTTAGTGAGAGTACAAAAACAAAAAATATGTACAGACAATTCTGACTAATAAACAGTACACACTATATACAGGCAAAATGAAAAGACAAAAACTGCCCTTCCTCAGATTCTTACTCCATATTGCTCTTTGTTTGCACTCATTTTTTTATTCAGTATGTGGTTTGTAACTGACAGAAGTTGCTGTTTGGCTTTGCATTGCTTGTCTCTTTCCATTGACAACGAGTAGCAGAGGAGAGTCCACACGTATACTCCGGAAATTGTAGGTCTGTGTAGAGAAGGTCTGAGTAAATTTGTAATTCTGTTCAAGTGTTTATTAATATTATGTAAACTGTACCAAATTAAATTGGCAAGTGAATGAATGCACCTACCTTATCATTGTGTGTTATACTATGCCGTTTGACTTGTGGTTCTGGAATGACTACTGTGTCTCCTATTAAGACGCCCCAGCCGTCTGATATGTTATAAACCATGACAACACAACATGTTTCCTCGCTGTCCACCATCCCAAATGTACTGAGGGGAGAGAAGAGGAAAATCACATACAAGCAAAACATAAAAGGTTGCTCTAGGAAAACATGTAAGTACAGCTAAAACCTCTTAAAATCATCAAAATAAATGCAGTTTAACTTAATAGAATTAATGCTGTGCTAATGAATCAAATAAAGGAAATTATTTACGGGTTTTACTCACAAGGCCATTCGACCCTCTGTGGCCAGGCTGAAGACAACTTTTCCGAGGGCTGCAGCACCTGCATTGTGGCCATGCGTAAGATCTGAGAAACTGCAGGGTACCAGGCTTCCTATGCGGCCTGTGGGGGAGCGAAACTCAGGAGAGGCACATGGACCCAAAGCAGACACGCTCAGAGAGGAGAGCATATTACGCAGGCGCCGTGCTTTCACTTTCCCCTGAAAGAGAGAGAAAAACACACATACACCTCAAGCTACAGATTATATGTAATAGGGCCAATCCTAACCTCCCAACATGCAGTGTGTCACTACTGTATGGCACTCTGCTGCCATCTACTGGTGGGAGCGCTGGCTTTAATTTCCATATACCCATATGTATTCAGCCTTCACACTTGTAGAAGGAAATCAAGTTTAAGATGCAAGTCAGTCATTTTTCTTACATCAGGATTTAGTGGCTTCTCTCTTCATACACAAGAGCAGTTCTAACTCGAGTGAGTGAGTGCAGATGTTAGAACTTAACCCACAGGATGGGTGAACTGTAACAGACTAGGGGTTGTAACAGTCACTACAAAGTCTAGTAAATTGCTCAAAGAAAATCAATTCAATATATTTATATGCTGTTTTACCCAGACAAGCTTTCCAACCAAGACACAAAAATATTAATGTGTTAAAATAAACATGATTAGTGCAAAGAGGCTTTTAAACACTGGCGAACTGTTTTTTTGACCATAAAGTACAATAAAAAACACTGCATTGGCTAAGCAACATTTAAATATTTAATTTATTTAACATCTAGATATCATCATGTATCCGTTTTTGTTTGTTTGTTCTTTTGCTATAAGTACACAAGAAGGTGACCAGAAGCACACAGCCTGAACCTGTTAAACTACTTAAAGTACTCCCATGTTGTGTCCCTACATTTTACATATCATAAGTGTTTAACTCACCTTATTCTCTATTAAACTAGTGACTTGATTCAGATAGTCCAGCAACTGCTTCTCTCTCTCTGGAGGCTCCTCCCAGCCAGGGTCAAGAGCAGCAGCCCGACTGTACCCAGCCAAAGCTGAACTGAACATCTCCTCATACTGGAACAGCTAAACCATGGCAAAGATGGAAATGAAAAAGTTGAAAAAAGGAACTTGAGTATAATGCTAGCTTAGATTTGCTATTAAAAGGGGTAAAACAAACTTGCTGTAGCCTATCAAAAGGTTATCATAGCAAATGGGGAAAGATCTTGCAATAGGCATATGGTAATGATGAATAAGTGGTAATTGGTACAAATTAGATGTTTTAACAGCTACAAGATGGTTTCTTTCTATATGATCTGTATACAGCTCAGATGGTTTGGTTAAAAGTGAGACAAGGCAGAATTAATGACAGGTATGAAAGTAAAGTGAGAGAACAACTGACACGTTACCGTGGCCCTATTAAAGTGCAGATCAGCATTCAAAGCTGATGCTTTGTCAATTTTCTCCTGTAAAATACAGAAGAAATATAATTTGCGAGCATAACCAGCAGAAATATTGAATATCTTTCCAGTTTAATTACTGTATATGTGTATATGTTTGTGTTCACTCACAGCTTGTGAATAGGCACTAAGAGCTTGCTGAGACATCTGAGGATTCTGTCCACTGGAGAAGAACAGGGAGATGTAGGCATTCCCTAAGATATCTGTACAAGAAGTGGTTAATTTCAATTAATTTCAATGTGTTTTCTTAAGATTACTGCTTGCAATATTTTATACTCAAGTTATCTAATGCACTGCTGCATGCTGAAGCCACACCACTGCCAAACTCATATCCAGACAGTACTGTGCCAGATAAATGAATCCGGGAAGTTACATGATCATATATTCTAGTGCAGGGGTGCCTGGTCATATGCGTAAAGGTCCAGCGCGGCTGCAGGTTTTCCTTCTAACCAAGCAAAATCACACCTGACTCTTCTTGTTTCATTAAGTGGTCTTACTCTTTACATTATCAATCAGGTGTGCTCATGCATGGTTGGAACGGAAACCTACAGCCATGCCAGCTCTTTGTGGTTAAGAATAGACATCTGTTCTAGTGTTTCCCAACTCCAGTCTTGAAGGCACACCTGCCCTGCACAGGTTTCTTTTTGCCCACTGTAAGACTCTTCTGCTGAGGGGCCTGTAGGACTAGAGTTGGGAAACTGGTATGTTCTAAAGAGCACAGGAAAACCATGTTTTAGAAATGTTTTATAGTTACAGTACAAACGTCCCTAACTTAATATTACTATTAAAGCATGATAAACTCACACCAGGACGTTCCATCGGTGACGTCAAGCTGCACAGCCTGTCTGGCCAGGTCCACGCTTTCCATGATACGTTTGCCATGGTCCTGAGCGCCCCCTTCTGGAGGAAGCTGCCTTAGCACCATTGAGAGGTTCCTCAAAGACACTTTGTTCTTGGACTAAAGAAAAGGATTACAAAGACAGCAATCATTACTAAAAACTATGCTATTACAGGACACGGTCATTTTAATCCTAAAGAGTATCATCTCAAATCCCAAACAAAATATTTCTTAATTTCTGGAGTCCAAATATGTTTTCACTATAATTTTTCATTATACCTGTTGTAGAGCCCCTGTGAAGCAGGTCTTTGCAGCAATCAGGTCTCCTTTCTTCCAGTACTGCTCACCTAGTGTGTTCCACCCTTCTACCAAACCTGGCTCCAACTTTACTGCCCGAGAGAGGCTTTCTTCTGCTGCCTGACTGAACTGTGGAGCTATGTTCAGACACCGGCCCCGCAGGAGCAGGTACTGGGCACTGTGTTTGTAGAGCTCTGCCAAATAAAAGATGAGGATAATTATGTCTTTGAAATAAGATGTGCAGGCCGTTGAGTAAATATGCATTTACTAAAGATTAGTTAATACAGAGTAATCCCTCGTCTTTCAGTGTTAACATACCACTGCCTCAAAATATATGTACATTATATACACTATAGTCCAGAAAGTCTATAGACATAGTCCAGTGTGAAATCAGGGATATTAAAAAGGAGTTTTTCTTCCTATTTGCTGGAGTAACAGGTTCTACTTTTCTAGGATGACTTTCCATTAGATGGAGGAACACTGCTGTGACGATTTGATTACTTTCTGACGCAAGAGCAATGAGGTCAGGTACTGATGTTGGATATATAGTTCTGGACCATAAACACGAGTCCAACTCATCTGGATGAAAAGTACTGGATGGAGCTCAATCACTCCAGAGAACACTTTGAACCCCTCTAGCCAACACTGGTTGACCTTAGACTCGTACAGATGCTCCAGAGCATCCCATTTTATTGGCAATGCTTTCCTCTAGGGATTATATTAGTTGTATCAGTAATGGATGCAACTTGAAGTAGCTGAATTCCCTAATAAGGAAAGGTGTCTGGATACGTTGACATTTAATGTACGTTGTGTCCCTGTTTACAAAGCCTATGAAAATCTTACGCTTTGTCACAAACTCACCTTCCTTCTCCTCCAGCCTCTTCAGTGTCCTGTTCATCTCTTCGGTAACATCATTCTGTTTTCTACTGGCGTCCTCCACGCTGTGCGTTTCAAAATAGTGATCCCTAAAGTGATACAGTCCATCCACGAGTTCCTGTGAGACAACAGAAAGATCTCCCATTCTGAACGATTCCCTGATCAAATTTCATCGCGCAAGGTTGATATACGCTACACAGATACAAATTTAGTATGTTTAAGGGATGTAAGGCGCACCTTTAATCTAAATCGGACAGACCTGACGTCTGACATTTCACAGTCATCCTCACATTCACCATATTAACGTTACATACAGAACTATGCAGCTAGTAATGCATTCGTTGTTATAGTGACAGACGGTCGGCTAGCTAGCTGAGCAGCAGCTGAGTGTGCAGCAAATCAGCTCGATTTCTCTTTAATAAAATACATGACACTGAACGACACTCCGATAATCTGCTAATTGCGCTAATATGATAAACAGTTTGTACCTTTAAAACTTCCAAATCATCCTTGTCTGTTGTTTTCTGCTCACCATCGTTGTCAACTTCAGCCATTTTTAGGTGGTAAGTGCAGAAATACAGCACGGAGTCTCCGCCTGCTGGTTAGGAGGTTAACATACAGAACAGGCCAGTTTATGGCTGGTAAGTATCACAAAAACGTGGACTGCGATTTATGTAAAATAACGTGACAGTCATTTTCTTGGAATGTATAACCAGACCTGCGTGTAAATGGGGACTAGTCCTCAGAAACGTATTTCTATGATCCGCCTTCGATGGGTCCAATCTGAGCTGGTTTAAGGGGAGTCTGGCCCCTTCCTATTTCTTCCGTTACAGCAAAAACAGGGATGCACAACGCCAGAGGGCGCCCGCGAGCGAGTCCTCAATGAATGGGGGTGAATGGAGCTAAACGGCTAAAAATTAAAAGTTTAAATAGTTTCTAACCAATTGTCCAGGACCTTCCTTTAATTTTAGAAAACAGAAGGGTGTATTTCAATAAAAAAGCAAGGAAAACTTATCTGTGTAGCTCACTTTTTAAAGCAAAGGGCGCTAGCGTTACTGCTACTGTGTGCTGATTAGTTGGCGTTATTGCTACTTAGTACTAATTGGTTGACGTTACTGGTGCTTAGTACTGATTGGTTGGTATTGCCGGTATTACTGAGTGGCAGCTCTACTCTATACACTCTCTGTGGTCCAACCAGACCTGTTTAGGGAAGTTAAATTGCGCATGCGCAGAAGTCACATGCTGTCATGAGACGTTCGGCAGGAACACAGTTGTAGTGCCTTTGATGACAAAATGAAGGGTTTACTTCTGTTTCTTGGGTTATTTTGTGTGTCAGTCTCCACAAATGATGCTCAAGAACGTCTCCAAGTGTTCGTCATTCCTCACAGTCATATGGATGTCGGCTGGGTGTACACGGTTCAGGTAAGTTACTCCTTCAGAGTGATGTCTGCAAACTTGCTCCTTGTCTGACGGGGTTTACGAGAGCGTGATGTGTCTGTAGGAGAGCATGCACGCCTATGCCAGCAACGTGTACAGCACGGTCGTTGAGGAGCTTTCAAGGGTGAAAGATCGTAAATTCATCGCAGTTGAGCAGGAGTTCTTCCGACTTTGGTGGGACAACACAGCATCACAGTGGCACAAGAAACAGGTGAGTACCAGACCTTCAGCTGTGTGTGAGTGGATACACTAGGTACGTTGTTAATGTGGATACACTGCTTTTCCCCTTTTTAATAACTGAGACCTGCTTCCATGTCAGGTGAGACAGCTGCTGCAGGAGGGACGTCTGGAGTTCATCATTGGTGGTCAGGTGATGCATGACGAAGCAGTGACAGATATTGATGACGCCATCCTCCAGTTGACAGGTTTGTGTTTTGGGCACAGTTCCCAATAGCCATCCTAAGCCCTGTGGTCATCTGCACTTCGGTGATGTCAACAGCTTGCAGACAGAGGACAAGAAACCTACCCCATTAGAAAGCCCTAACAGGTGCTTAAGCTGGCGGTCCTCCTCAAAGTCCACACTTGAGGCAACAATGTGCAGACCTGCAGGCCAAATAACAAATTAACATGCATGTCACCAGGAAAGTCCACCAGACTGTAGGGCTCTAATTCTGCCATTCACCTAAGCTAAAAGAGAGATAATGCCATGCCTGTGAAATTGCAGACTTCTAGAAAGGCCACTTGGAATGCAGGCTTTATCAGACTGTGCTGGTTAGTTTCTGTCATCATACTGAACCGTGCATGATGAAAGAAACTAAATGAGAGGCCCCACCCCAAAAAAAGAGAAATAAGTAAAATAAAGTTTTTGTTTAGTTTTAAACAAACAAATGAAGAAAATTACCAATTTTTTATATAGTTGCAGTCATACTGCCTTGCAGATTTGATGTGACAACATTGAGCACTTTAGTGAACATCAGTCACAAAATATAGGTCTAGAGTCCATGAAACAGGAATCCACAGGGTCAACATTTTCAATTTAGCACTCGAAGGCAGTAGGTTTAAAAGTGTGTGTTCGGGACAGACTCAGGTGCCGCACAGGCTGTACATGCTCTGTATCCAATGAAATCCTTTTTTTGGTAAACGCTAATGTGCTTATCAGCAGTGGCTCAATATGCATTACAAGCATAATGCAGCTTAGTGATGAGGTAAATAAATAAACAATGCAGTTTACCTCTGACATTTTTTCTCCACCATGTAAGTTAGATAGCTGTTAACAAAACTGTATACTCTGATTGGTCCTAGCCTGTATTTTAAGTCAGAGGCTACATTGATTGCGGTAATCACCAAAGGCTGCACTAAGAGTGCACGGAGGAAGGATGCTCGTGAGCTCCCATTTGAGTGCAGAAATGAGAAAAGAAACAAGCTACAACCTCATGGCACAAGTCAGGACTTCAGGATTGCAAATGGGAGAGGACTTTGTATGTGTTGCGTTTTACTTAATGTAATATTTTATCACATGAAAAAATACTAGTCTATGGCCTTCAACACATGCTCTCTCTCTTTCTCTCCTCCTCGCTCCTTATTCCTCCCTTCCACTGTGTCTCTACGGTAGAGGGACATGGCTTCTTGTATGAAACGTTTGGGGTCAGGCCTCATTTCTCTTGGCATGTTGACCCGTTTGGCGCCTCTGCTACCACTCCAGTCCTTTTTGCTCTGGCTGGATTTGATGCTCACCTCATCTCCCGCATTGACTATGATCTCAAAGATGCCATGCAGAAGAATAAGGTTGTTTTTCTTTTCCTTTTGTAATTATACTAAAGTGTAGTAGCCAGTATATACTATACATGTGAAGACGCTGCTAACTGTGCCGAAACTGTGTAATATCATAACTGTGCTTATGTTTATCTAGAAACTGCAGTTTGTTTGGAGAGGGTCGTCCTCTTTGGGGAAGACCCAGGAGATTTTCACACACACTATGGACCAATACAGTTATTGCACACCATCCTACCTCCCCTTCTCAAACAGGTGTTCAAATAATATGTGTTGCTTTCTTAACAGTGTTTATACATATTACATATTTTACACATAAAGCTGTAAGTTCTTACCTGTTTCTGACCTATAGGTCAGGGTTTTATTGGAATGGAGTAGCCATGTTTCCAGACCCCCCTAAAGATGGAGTTTACCCTAACATGAGCCTTCCAGTCACAAAGGAAACTTTGGAGCCCTATGCCCAGACCATGGTGAAAAACATCAAACAAAGGGCCCAGTGGTTCCGGACCAACCATGTTCTCTGGCCTTGGGTCAGTTCATTTTCATGTTGTTACCAACTAAAAACATAAATATTGTTACCATACTTTATTCCTTCTATAATTTATTTCTGTACCCACCCAGCTGTACGGGATACACCTTTTTAAAATATTTGTTTTGTTTTGTAGGGTTGTGACAAGCAGTTCTACAATGCCTCAGTACAGTTCACAAATATGGATGTGTTGATGAACTACATCAATAAGCACAGTGAGGAGTTTGGAGTGACAGTTCAGTATGCCACACTCAAAGACTATTTCCAAGCTGTACACCAATCAAATCTGTCGTGGGAGGTGAGGGGAAGCGAAGACTTCCTCCCTTATTCCACTGGTAGGTTACTCTCAAATGTTTTCATATTCAAAACCAGGGATGTCCAACCTTATTAACAAAGGGATCACAGGGTTAAAGCATTAAAGTGATAAAGAACTGTAGGCAACCTGCAGCTTCCAAAACTCTTTTAATATTTAGGCTTGCTCACTGATTAAAACAACATATTGACAATCCTACCAAAATAAAGAGTCGCATGTCCAGTAAAAATATATAGCATGATCCATAATAATATCCATAATAAATGCAATTTAATGTAGGGTATCTTTTCAGAAGGTTACATCTGTTTTGCATTTTATCTTCATTGCTTGCAGAACCGTTTCAGGCATGGACAGGGTTCTACGCCTCCAGAAATGTTCTAAAAGGAGTTGCAAAAAGAGCCAGTTCCCTTCTCCATTCTGCAGAATCTTTGTTTGTTCGGTACCGGATCAGGTACCCGGATGGCCCCGTCCAGAAAGAATGGGCCCTAGATAAGCTCAAGGCCCTCAGATGGGCTGTCTCTGAGGTACCCAATGTAAAATGTATTGGAATGCATAGTCACAGATAATATGGGATGTAGAGTACAGTGTTAATTACCTGTTATTACCTATTCTTCACTAAACCAGGTTCAGCACCATGATGGTATCACAGGTACAGAATCACCCAAAGTAGCTGATATGTACATGGATCACCTCACGCAAAGTATGATGGGAGTAGAAGAGCTCTTGGCAGCCATGTTCCTTCTCCCTCAGAACCCTGCCATTTCTAGTGCCAACCCAGAAAGCACAGGTGAGTCATATTCGTAGATCGGGCTTGCGAAAGTAGTCATTATGTAATTAGTATGTAAGTTGATGTGAGTAAAGTTATCATAGCCATATAGTCTTATTTATCAGAACATGGGGTAAAAAGTTCTATGAGCATGAACATCAAACTTTTATGGTCTGTCTTAAGCTTTCTTTTAACATAGCCACATAATTTTAATCATTACTTATTGTTAGATGCAGGGCCTATCATTCTAAAGTTCTAAAATAATATATGATTATTTTTTCTGTGACATAGAGCCATCAAGTGACCTTGAGCAGCACATCATTGTGTACAACCCACTTGCTTGGAACATAACAACATACATCAATGTTTCTGTAAAATATCCAATGGCACTTGTGTTTGATGATAATGGGTTAGCAGTCCCAGCTCAGGTAACTCGTTCATTACAAAAGTATGCATAAACACAGAATTGAATCTTTTTTTATATTATATATATCTTTTTGATACAGATGTCTTACAAAGTGGAATTATCTATTTATCCAGCAGACTATGTTGACTACTTATTATGCTTGCTTGCTTATCAGTTTGTTGTGTAGTCCTGTGGAACAGTGGTGTTTGACTGTGTCCATCATGTTCCTTCAGATCCAACCTTCAGCAGAGTCGCCGGCTGACTATGATCTTTTCATTATGGTGGAACTGGGTGGGCTTCAGTACAGAAAATACCTCATCCAGTTTCCGCAGTCAAAGTGTAACAAGGGTTCTAGCTGTGGGCTGACTCATGCAGCCAGAGTGGTGACATTTGAGAGACGGAACATTAGCAAATGGAAGAAGACGGGTAGGAGACTTTTGCCTGTGCTAAATGAATGCTACAAGCTGCTGTTTGACCAGGAGACTAACCTGCTACACAGTATTACAGATAGGTTGGCTCATCTTTCTCATTTATACTTTAATTCAGTTTTCCCTTTGGTGTAGTGAGATAACAGGATCAGGAGCAATGTTTACAGTGTATCTT